GTTTTAATCAGTTCGGTGGCTATCATCCTGTTTTTTTATTACAAAATGACCCAGATAGGAGTGTTCTATTTTCCGTCGGTGGTAAATGGTGCTTGATGCGCTCGCAGTAACCCAGATCTGGTTGTATCTACCAGAGATGATGTTCGCTCACACTTTGTTATTTTCGGGCAGTCGCGCCATCCACAGCCACCTAAGATCAATGGTTTTGGACACACGGGCAACCGACCATCGACTACTAACCACAAACTTGTTTTTGACCTGTGATACCACTTGAATTTTGGTTTTCTGTACATGATCGATTACCAGGAGGTTCTTTTTCGTTCTGTCTCGTGCGATGTTCGTGTTTGTCACACAAGGTAACGAATATATACTTCTGTTCCCTGCTGAACACAGTAAATTTTGTCGCTGGCTTCTCCCATCATAATCGATTTCATGGCATAGTTGTGGTTGTCACAACAAAAAAGAAAAACTACTAACTCGAAGACCGCGCCCACCTGATGAGCCCCAGGAAGGGCGAAACTGGTCGAAGGCTGTCGAAGAGTTTTAAGCAACCTTGTGAGTAGTTTCCTTTATGAAAATATACTGCGATATCTCGAATATCATGCCAACTGAAACATGAGGCTGCCTGTGTGCAGAACATTCAGTTGTAGAACATCATAAACGAGAGATTAAGTTGAGTCCCTCATGAAAACCAAATTGATTCGCAAATGAGTGTATTTCTCGAAAACAGTCCAATTTGGTTTCAAGCAGAACTTAAGGTTGACGGAAACTCGGGGACTGCGTCTACCTGATGAGCCCGACGAAGGGCGAAACCGGTCGTGGGTTGTCGAAGAGTTTCCAGCAACCTTGTGAGTAGTTTCATTCATGATTGTTTTTTTTACTTCAAAGCATACACATGATGGCGTAGTCATGACTTTTACTCCAGTCAACGGGGTTTATATTCTGAACAAACTGCTCCGTTTCTGGCACATTATTTTGCGCTGGAGAGTGTAGTATAGAACAATTTGGGCTTATTTATCAGCGTACCATTCAAAGTTAGAGTTTTCCATGTAGTGAACAATTAAAATTTCATCTGTTCTGTAGGTACCCCGTACTTCAAGAAGTAAATTGATTGGTTCAATTCCACACTGTCTAAAATAAGTTGACCAGTAGTTCTGGAATGTTCATTCAAGTACAGTAAATCAGCTGAGTGCGTCATACATATATATACCTTGTTAACTTTTTCTTGTTGCCGTTTGTCACTGGGAGCCTGTAGAAGCCACGTATATACATTGTCCTAAAACTCGGGAAGCATACAGTTGAGAGTCTTACAGCCCCTCACGTTCACACCACTGGACCACCAATCCTCGTAGACCTACGTTTTCTGAACTATCAAGAGCTATTAGAGTAGGATGCACTCGCTCCACCCACCCGAACAGTTCAAATTTTTCATGAAAAGGATGGAAATCAATTTTGGTGAGCCATGGGAAAGCTATCTACGCCGTCTGAATAAAACAGGGGTGTGGTATCGCGACAATGAATCCACTTCCAAGTAATCGAAGTAATGCAGTCTACGGAACCTTTTAGGAACACGTATATTACGGAAACCAACGAAAGCCGAGTTATGCGATTCTAATCAGTCTGCAAATGAACTGGATCGTTGTATAAGGGCCACACTGCGGGCTGAATTATCCCTGAGCCAAATAATTCACCCCTCCAGCAATATAACAGCGGTCTACACACCACTTCACTATGCCTCCTCCAACAGAACTTTCTTGCCGGTCAAGGTTTGTCTAAGTAATTTAAGCAGCTTAAACGTATGAACCCCAGGCTGAGTGGATGCAAACTTGAAGGCATTGAAGAGGGGGTAGATATTCGTTATGAGACACTTCTTGCTATATTCTGAAGGGGTTGTCTACTAAAGGAAGACTATGGACGAAATTTTCCACTTCGCCGAAATCACGTTCGCTTACGGACTCTACAGGAATTCGGGGGGTAACTTATCGAGGATTAGAGTCTTTCACTTCCCCACTTAGTGTGAAATCGTGTGAGACTTTGAGACCAGTGGTTATTACTGATCTGAATTGTAAAGCAACAAGCAGATTGTTATAACGGCTTTCTGGCTAAATAATACAGTGGCCCTTCTATTGGGAAAAACATTGTCAAAAGGGTTCCATTCGGAGGGGAAATAGGCCATATTCCTAGTTGTATGCAAACACGTGGTTTTCTACAAATACTTCGATTCTTTTTACAAAATATCTGTCGTGTCTGTGCGCGTTTAACAGTAGTTGCTGTCTATCTAGACCCTTTTGGAATGGAATTACTCCACCACTTGAACCCAAAGCGAGATGCAGTACGGAGGGTTCATTAAGTAAGACTGTTGCCGTGCCTACTTTTCCGTGGTGTTGGAACGATTTTTCCGTCTGTTCCCATTCTCACCTTCTTTGAAGTTGCTTGATTTGTCATTCTTCGGTTTTTCTGTCATGCAGAGCTCATATTCCACTTAGAACTCATCACGTACCAAGGATAACCTACTGTTTGGCTATCTACCCTCACCGCTTCTAATGGTAACCGGGTTGGCTAATGGAATGCCCATTCAAGATGCCAAACTGGGTGAAACTAGCACGATTGCTCGACGCTTAGGTAATTTTGCGCACCAGCATTTAGAGGATAAACCAATTCTAATTGTCTTGAAGGTGAACGCCACTCGATTGTCTGTTTAAAATCGAAGTGGGATAGGCTGACAAACGTGGGACAGATGGTAATCTATACTATCTTGAAACTTGATTGCCGTTTATGAGCGTAATAATTCACACTAAATCTGTCGATATTGCTCAGATCCGTACCAATGTCATTCAAAGTGTGCCTATCACTTCACAGGAAATTGGTACCGATGCATTTCGACTGTTGTCTCACTACCTCCCCAATCAACCAAAGTTTCCTCAACAGAAGACTTTGGGGTAATTCCCTCAGTCGGTGAGCTTAAAACAGCTCAAAATTACCGGCGAGAGAATTCACCGGGGTTTTAAGTTTAGGCAAACTTGAAGGCATTGAAGAGGGGGTAGATATTCGTTATGAGACACTTCTTGCTATATTCTGAAGGGGTTGTCTACTAAAGGAAGACTATGGACGAAATTTTCCACTTCGCCGAAATCACGTTCGCTTACGGACTCTACAGGAATTCGGGGGGTAACTTATCGAGGATTAGAGTCTTTCACTTCCCCACTTAGTGTGAAATCGTGTGAGACTTTGAGACCAGTGGTTATTACTGATCTGAATTGTAAAGCAACAAGCAGATTGTTATAACGGCTTTCTGGCTAAATAATACAGTGGCCCTTCTATTGGGAAAAACATTGTCAAAAGGGTTCCATTCGGAGGGGAAATAGGCCATATTCCTAGTTGTATGCAAACACGTGGTTTTCTACAAATACTTCGATTCTTTTTACAAAATATCTGTCGTGTCTGTGCGCGTTTAACAGTAGTTGCTGTCTATCTAGACCCTTTTGGAATGGAATTACTCCACCACTTGAACCCAAAGCGAGATGCAGTACGGAGGGTTCATTAAGTAAGACTGTTGCCGTGCCTACTTTTCCGTGGTGTTGGAACGATTTTTCCGTCTGTTCCCATTCTCACCTTCTTTGAAGTTGCTTGATTTGTCATTCTTCGGTTTTTCTGTCATGCAGAGCTCATATTCCACTTAGAACTCATCACGTACCAAGGATAACCTACTGTTTGGCTATCTACCCTCACCGCTTCTAATGGTAACCGGGTTGGCTAATGGAATGCCCATTCAAGATGCCAAACTGGGTGAAACTAGCACGATTGCTCGACGCTTAGGTAATTTTGCGCACCAGCATTTAGAGGATAAACCAATTCTAATTGTCTTGAAGGTGAACGCCACTCGATTGTCTGTTTAAAATCGAAGTGGGATAGGCTGACAAACGTGGGACAGATGGTAATCTATACTATCTTGAAACTTGATTGCCGTTTATGAGCGTAATAATTCACACTAAATCTGTCGATATTGCTCAGATCCGTACCAATGTCATTCAAAGTGTGCCTATCACTTCACAGGAAATTGGTACCGATGCATTTCGACTGTTGTCTCACTACCTCCCCAATCAACCAAAGTTTCCTCAACAGAAGACTTTGGGGTAATTCCCTCAGTCGGTGAGCTTAAAACAGCTCAAAATTACCGGCGAGAGAATTCACCGGGGTTTTAAGTTTAGTGTGCGAATTTGACGCCACTTATTACTGACGCCACTTATTACTGAACCACGGGTTTAGCTTTCTGTGCCTAACTGTCATGACACCAGAGGGAAGCACGAGGGTTGCAATACTGCCAGGTTGTCCACGCCTACACAGAGGAAGTCGAGAGGCAGAGGTCGGTTCCGAACCACGGACCTTCCGGTCAGTAAATCTGCGCTCTAACCACTGAGTCATCTCGGCAGAGGACCACTTAGTCAACTATGAACATCCGTATATGCTTCAGTCCGGTTTCGCGTCAAACGGTGAGGGGCTATGGATGGACAGTTGAGAACTTTACCTACCTAATCCATGTTAATCTGGCTGGCCTTAAGGATGAAAGGACGCATAGATCGTACGCCACGACCTAATCGTGATCAACCCTGCTCACACATACAACGATGTATCATCCCCCTTACAATCATTTTAAGAGTACTAACTCTGGAAAACAGTTCTTCCACGTTTAACCGAGAGGTCAGAATTACTGTGGATGTAACCATGCCTCAAGGTATAATAGGGTTTTAGGGCGTGAGGACATCAGTTTAGTTCCAATTCCAATGAACATTTCAGGCTTTAGAGTTTGAACGGACCCAAATAAGAAATAGCGACTTTCCACGTGGCAGGTGTACGGCAAACAGACGGATACTGGACCGTGTGAAGGTCACCCGATATGACAGTGTTTTTTCCACCTTAGGCTGCTATGCACACGTTCACGCGGGAAATTCTACCAATAGTTATTCACCTATACGTTTCCAGCAGTACAAACCTCCTGCGATCTATCCAGCCAGAGAACGTATGCACGTTCGGTCACGCCTTGTTTTTTCGTATGGAGAGATCATGTCGGTATCGAGCCCTCTTTTCCCCACTTTTCTGAAAAATGACGTTACAGAAAATAGTGCATTCTGTTAGAGCACCAGCTATTCTGAGGGAAACTTCGGAGAGAACCAGCTACTGGATGGTTCGATGAGTCTTTCGCCCCCGCCCCTATACTCACGTCTGACGATCGATTTGCACGTCAGAATCGCTGCGGTCCTCCACCAGAGTTTCCTCTGGCTTCAATCTCCGCAAGCATAGTTCACCATCTTTCGGGTCTCAACATGTACGCTCATGCTCCGCCCCGATGACAAACTCTGAATAGGGTCATCACACCATGGGACGGGCCGGTGATGCGCCTGCCGCTCGATGCTTGGTGATACCGCGTATGAGGCATGACAGGATCTCACCTCAGTCCGGACAAGCCAGACCTTCACTTTCACTTCGACTTTGGGTTTCGTTACACCCAATGACCCGTGCACATGTTATTCTTCTTGGTCCGTTCGAATAATGAGGGCTGACATGCTCGAACAACAACCAGCCTTCCAACATACAATCACTCTCCTAGAGGGGATAGTTCTTACGCGCCTGCAGCAGCAAACCAAATAACGGCATAAAAAGCCTATCCTACATGAACCGCTTATAAAGTTAGTGTGAAATAAATTCTTCTTTCTGTCCGTGTTTGTAACACTGTTTGCCTACAATCCGCTGACAGGTAACCAAGCCTCCTCTCCAAAGGTCTCAGTACAGGCACAGCTAAGTGGAACCCTGCCAATGCAAACTCACAATCAACGTCTGGATTCTACAAAGGTGGGCATTCAACCCAATTTCTGTGTGGTTTTGCTACTATATCCTATTGAACGAAAATCACCACTGGATGGAATACACTCACGGAGTTTTTCTGTTAAACTTACCTTTCTCTCAAACGCTTTTTGATGGCTGTCAATACGCGTATTGTTTCATGTTGTATTTTTTGTAGCACTGATGTATAACCTTAAGGTTACAGGGGTATGGCCATTACCTGGTTTGGTGGGGTGTGAAGGAATATATGTGTAGCAGGTATAGTGAAGGTCCTGTCGGATTAGCAGGTGCCTTGCGGTCCTCAGAATCCGGACTCCTCCCTGCTCCTATGTAAACCCCTTGATATCAAGAGGTTGTTTGTGCCAGTCTAGCAGTGTAATTTTATTCGTTCTGTATAAGTGGGATTCTCAATCCAATAGCTATCGAGTCCTTGAATTCGTTCTAACAAGTGGTTGTAATCGACAGTCCAAGGTACAGGACCCTGGGTGTTTGGCTGGCTGGCACCCAAGAATGGTAGTGTCGGCAACAGGGGATGTACATATGACGTTGACTACACAAGGTTGCGGTGAAACTGAATACTATCCTACATTCAGACCGCTGATGTTTATATAGATCCTAGATGGTAAGACTGACTAAAAAATCCCTTGGATATGACAGTCCATTCCAAACATGATGGTACAACTATGATCAACATCCTCTGTTCTTTTAGGTCAAGGGCCACTCGTCTGTTTCGATGGATTGCAGCAAACTCCCGCACTTCCCTCAACTACGCCGTCTTCGCAGTGAGTGATGTTCACTACCGTGTTAGTTAGGCACTATCGTTTTGTAGTATGTCAGTGGACTTTAGCAAGTGCTGATTGGACATAGGCAACCTACTCTGACAGTCTAGGGTAAGTGCTTTAATATGTCTACCCGTAGGTTGCGCGTGCCAATGTAGCTACAGTTGGGATCGATTAATCCACATTTCTTTAGATGGTATGAATGACTGACTGCATTCCGCAGCTGACCTGATGTGTCGTACTGGCATATCTGCTGTTATCATTCTAGTTGTTTTGAAGTATGTACAGACAGACTTTGTTCGTGTGGTGTTCACCAGTTGGTGATTTGTTTATCCCTAAATCACGTCTCACAGTTTTCTATACCCATATACTGGTAGAGCCATCTGACTACAGTTACTTAGCGCTCGTGTATCGGCGCACACTGAAAGCTCTTCGGGCAATCGTTCATTCGTGCCATTTACTCACAAGCCGCCTTATGTGTACGTCCGTGAACTTTCGCGTATTTTTCAAAGGTGACGCTTGACTGCCACCCCGCGTTAGTTATTCCGCCTGATTGTGGACAACTCAACATCCAGATCGGGAAAGTTGCAACTTTATTTTGCATTGTAACTGTGATCCGTCTTGCTCTTCTGACTACAACCTGTTCTGCATAATTCCCACGACCCAATATACCACCTTTTAAGAGCTTCCGCGACCTTTTCCTATCTTCTCTTTTTTTCAATCGTGTGGTACAACATCCGGCACTCCATTGCTCTTATTGATTGATGTGGACTCACCAGAATGACTGGGCCAGGACAGGAGGACGATGGTTCAAACGCGAGTAATGTGAGCGTGCATTCTATAAAATCTCGCAACCACTAACTAAAACAGATTAGTCACGTGCACCAATTCATACTGGAACCCGGTGCATGTCTCACTGGCTTTGTCAGGTCTGTCTACAGCCACAGAAAGAAATGAGTCATCCCTCCGCACGATGAATCAGCAGGTGCGCGTTTTGCTCTTACTTACAGTGTTTGGACAGTGTTGGAGACGTCTTTTAAACTATCTGACATTTTAAAAATATTTTCTCAGGTCCTATCCACTCAGGAGGGTTGAATTTTGAGCACGCACCATCTGCCATTGCTCATCAAAACTATATGATCACTATTCTGTTTCTAATTTCAAAATCAGGGAATGTTCTTTTGGATCCTGGTTTAGTTACACTTTATTGACCCACTGGAACTTCAACATTCAAATGAACTGGTCAGCATTCGTAAATTTAAAGAGCGTTGTTTCAAGGCCACTTATATTACGTTGTCGACAGTGCGAGACACTCGCTGGCAAGGTGTTCTGTTCATGTGGGCGCAACAAAAATTCATTTGGGGCAAGTGAGGTGCGGCACGAGGATTAAGGCTGTTTGAGGCTAAGGACGAAAATTGGAGTACCGAGGCAACAAAGAGAGAGAAAGATGTACTGCAACTCAACTGCCAGGCCCGAAAACGTTAAGTCGATCGATAAAGAGGTCATTACCAAATGATGGTTCTTTGTGGCGGAGTACTAACGTATTTAAATTAGCGATTAAAGACGGGGGTGTACATTTACATTTGCATGACCTTCCTAAATAAACACTCTAAAAGTTCACTTGTTAGTAATCTCTGACATGTTCATCTTGTGTGATGTTCACCGGTACCGTGCCTTTATGTAGTTGGGTTATTCAGTGTAGCTTTCAATGTGAAGCGGAAGTAGTGAAATTTAGATAGACATTACGTCTTGGCATGACACCCCGCTACTCATAAGGTCGATGAAAAACGCTCCACTATCCGGTATGGTTTGGGCCTTCTTAAGGTGTAGTAGTAAACGAGAGATTAAGTTGCGGCTGTCGTTACCCGTGAATTTATTTGCGAGTAGTCTGTGTCGTCAGTTGTGTACAATTTGTTGTTTAACCAAACATGAGTTTGATGGGAATCAAGCCTCTCTGGTAAGTCTCATGAAAGGTGGGGCCGGTAGTGGGTTGTCAAATAGTTGTCAGTGCATCGTTATGCTAAGATATTATACTCCCAGATTTCTGCTATCGTCTCATCTGGAATACAAGGATGCGATAAGCAAGAGTCTCAAGTAAGTAGCTGGTTAACACCTAAGTTAACACCTAAGTGTCTTGTCAATAGACAATAAGTGGTTTACAGCCAATCGCCTTCCGTTCGGACCACTTTAGAGACTAAGCCTAAGAAATACTGACCAACTAGACTTGACACACTACTAATAGGATTGCTGAAAACCCTCCGACAGCCCACAAATGCATTCACCCTTCATGGTACATCTACCGATTGTTACCGAACTTTTCCAAAAACGATGACTACTCAGTCAGTTCAAAGCGTTTTTCAACTAAATGAAAAAAGTAATGATCCAACCCTAATACCCTTTCCCTGCCTGGCTGCCATGCCACCCGAAGGGAGCGTGAGGGCTGGGATACTGCCAGGTTGCCCAAGCCTAGGCAGGAGAAGTCAAGGAATTGCGCGAAATCAGCAAGCAGAAAATAAGGTTGAGGGAAACTCGGGGAGTGTGTCTGCCTGGTGAGCCCCAAGAAGGGCGAAACCGGTCTTGGGATGTCGAAGAGTTTTCAGTATCCTTGTGGGTAGTATGTTACATCTATTGAGATATATCGAATATCGCACCAGCTGAAACTTGAAGCTACCTGGTGCAGCACATTAAGTTGAAGAAGAACATCATAAACGAGAGATTCAGCTAGGAATCAGATGTCTCCCGTAAAAACCAGAGTAGTAAACAAATGTGGGTACATGGCTAAGTACTTTTGCACTGGTAGACAATCTCCACGACAGACTGTGTTATTTGTTACCACTAAACGCAAAGGAAAATGAATTGCAGAGCATTGTGTATGTGTTCTCCCACCGCAATATTTGGAAAAAAGCAACAAAAATAACGAAGCTCCGTTGAAAAATCGAGAGTCACCTATACTTCGTACAAATCACAGTATCCCTGCTTATCAACATGAGGTAGCTGAGTCAGTCATCGAAGTAAATCAGAACTACGCCCGGCAGTCTTAACTTGGTTCACAAATTGTATGTAGACAAGGTGGTTGATCACGTGTGACCCAGTATGACTCACCTGTATATCTAGGGATGAATGTACGTGATTGGTGGGTAAAAACGTAACGTCCATTTGCACTTCAAGTTCAAAAGGAGCGTGTGATCTTGACACACTGTAAACGTGACTTGTGGGAAATGTTCACTGACCACGTGTGAAGATTGGGCCTTGGACGAATACTCAGAAAGTAACAATGCCTATATGATTTGTTTGCTTTCTTGTTTTCAACGAAAGGAGGAAAGGTGGTACAATAGCCGGGTATGCTTCAAGCATTTTTAATGGGATGACGAAACTAATAGATTTGATTCGAAACACCGACACCTACGACCCATGTTGTCTGGCCTTATTGCGTTCGGTAACTCAGTTTTGTGTGACAGAATACTAGAATACTGCCAGTGTGCCTCCAGTTTGGGGACAGTGACGAGCTAAACACGTCTGAACAGTATATCTGAGCAAGAAACGACCAAAGGGTTTCAAGCAAAGTCCCTGGCTAAATTCGCCCATCAACAGCCCAACGCACAATGAAAGACAAACTTTGGGTGGGTAGTCCAATCAGGGATTGACGGCATGAAAGCCATTGTGGTAGGAGTTCTAACCAGCTGCAGGGAGGATCCCGACCAGGATGGTGCGTGAATCCCGTAGTGATCCAGCCCATTGTGCGCAGCCATATCCTAACTTGTCCCCTCAGATAACTAGCCAGCGCGCTAGAAAAAAGTCGGGGTCACCTCTGAGTCTGTCTGTACAATATAATCAACATTTGCTTGTTATGTTAGCAACGAGCCGGTGCCAGAAAGCCTGGAGGCTTTGCTTTTTTGTTCCCAAGATAGAGGTGTTTCATTTGCAGCCCTACGAGTCTTACCATTACAGTCAGCCATGTACGTCATTTTACACTTTCAGTGAAACTTATTGTGACACAAAAAATAATACGATTTGACCAATTTTGTCTGCATTTTGAGTTTGATTGCATCCAAAGATTTCCCATGTCATCGTCAAATCGCGGTCTTCATAGCTACTAAAATAAGTATACCAATCAACACTCTCACCTCCTCAAAAATCTCGGGAGAACCTTTCGAACGCATGTCGATAGAAGGGAAACTTGTAGCATGGTGACGATCAAGAAGCAGAATGATATCGGTCACAGAATCCAAATCTAACAGAATTTTTGGAGGTGCCATTTCCATTCCCATATACCCCTGATACATTGAAATGCACATCTCATGGTTGTGCGAGGTAAAAAGAACAAAAGGATGATAAGGGACAACCTTAACAAACCCCATTAGTTGTCGAACACCTTTCAAACAATCCGTTGTAAGGTCTACTATGACCGATTCCTTGACAAATTTCAGGGAAAGATCTCTTTTACCGGGTATATTTCGAAGTGTCAAATTGTCAAAGCTCCTTTAAACTGAATGGAAAAGGTGCCAACATACGAGGTGTCTGCTCGGTTGATGTGTCACGTGACGGTCGACGTTGCATAGAAATTCTTTTGTTTGTGCACCGGCTGAGTTACTTTAGTGGTGTCAAGACCAAGTCGGGAGAAGGGAGCGTTTGCCCAAAAGCCTGACCACATGTCAGCAAGGGTTGTCATCAGATTACCAGAGCAGTTAGGAGAAAGAAGTCTCCTAGTCATTCCGACCCCAACCCGTTATGTGTTGCTCTTGACCGTTATCCATCTATCTACTTGGGCAATAAATTAGAGCTCCAGTATAGCTTTCTCGGTTAATAAGCTACACATACTGTCATAACACAATCAGAAAAATTCTTTTCGCCACGGTATTATTTGGGTCTTGTGTGTATTTACGCGAGGCTGGATTCTCGAGAGCAGTGATACATAGTGACAGTAAACACAAACCAAAAACACCTAGTTCAATGCCGATGGTCGTACTAAGCTAGCATAAGAAAAAAATGAACTAAAAATAGCAAAGTTAACGTCCCAGATACAAGATCACATGTCAAGTAAAAAAATATAGTCTGTTTAAACAGGTGTGCACTTTAACGTCCCAGATACAAGATCACATGTCAAGTAAAAAAATATAGTCTGTTTAAACAAGGTGTGCACTAAATTTCACTGATGACGCGACCAAAACGGAAGGTAGAAAACTAATGGATTCAGTAAAATTCCTAACTTCAGCTCCATAAACATAAAAATGTAAGTTTAGCCGATCAAAATGTCCCTTACATACTGGAATCACAGCAGTGCATTTTCACGTTGATTAATTTGTTTAAACGATAAATTCTCGCTGAATTCACGGACAGTTCGGACCAATGAAAGCGAATTATTCCGTGCTTCTTCCGGTATGGACACAAGTTTTTTAAATGGAAGAAATTTAATTACAGGCCCATGTCCTTCGCTGGACAGCCGGTTTTGAGTTTCTACAGAGCTGACGAGTTCAGTTGAGTGGCATCATTGGTGAACCGGTTGAACCTTACAGTAAACATTCACGCAAAAAGTTCGCCGGCCGTCTAGATCAAACGAATTCCAGGATGATACCGGACACTGCGGACATTATCGTTGACCGGGTCACGTAAAGCGGGTACAACTATATTTTAAGACCCATCCACTACCGGTAAGCACGCAAATTGGTCATTTAGATGGTGACTACCTTGATGAGACACTCAACAAGCGACCTGCGTGCTTTAGTGTTGTGAAGGTGTGTGCCACCCACGACGGGGACAAACAAGTTGGCTGAATGAAAGGACAATACACTTTCAGGAATGCATTTTCTATTAGGTAGACTGGGATCTGAAACAACGCCAATAACTGTGGCACAAGGGGGGGGGGGGTCAGTGGATTAACCGGGAGCGTGAAATATTCAGATTCAGCTGCGAAAAGGATTACTGATATAAATTTCTGATGTGAGGCATTCAAAACACACATTGGAGAAAAAACCTAAATCTGAAAAAAAACATGTTGCTAAGTTTTCACTTCTCCACGGCGTGATTGCAGAGGTGCGGATGGAGACAACAGAAAATTCACAAGGAACATACTCCGTCGAGATTGATCCTTCCACACACACGGTTCAGGTTACCATTAGCGAAGAAAATGGTTAGTGAATAGACTTGGTCCAGTTGCATGTGGCATCAAACACTATCTCACATCAGTGAGTTTCTAAACGATCCTCACTGGTGACGTTCCGCTGAGCGAGACGATCGATTATTTGTGTGATTTTAGAACGTCCCATTGGTTGGAAATTTTCTTGGGTTGTGCACAAAGTGGTGGTAGCTTAGACATTGAAACAAATTAGTTTGCATAAAACGCAGTATCGTCACGGAAAGGCTGTTAATTTATTTTTATCTCCGAAAACTACGAGGACTGGGGAGGAAGACAATGTGAATCCACCCGACCCCATTAACGGCCACACAGCATCAGGTCATACAGCAAATTCGATGGCTCAAAATATGGAACTATGTTTTGACAAAATATGATCTCTAGAAAAAATCTCGGTGATTTCCAACATGTTTCATCAGTCAAAAACTTTTTACTTGAATTTCTATAGGGTTTTCGGGTTGTCGGTAAGTGCACTCAGAACAAAGGACTTCTAAATGTTGTACATCTGCATAGGAATATTAGGGAACATAACTCCACTGTGCTCGGTATCTAAATACCAAGCCTGTCAATTTTGTAAGACAACTGGTCAGCCAATTACCATCCGAATCCAATTGAGCCCGTCGACCAATCGGAACTAAGTCATCACAAGCGAAGGTTACCCAACCGGCAAGCTGTTTGTTTTAGTTGGTAATTCACACAAACAACGGCCGTCTGTAACAAGCCACTGACCCACAAATGAGGAGTCGCAATCAGAACTGACAGCCAACGCAAGATTCAGAACAATGTCTAAGACGCTTTTCTGCACTCAAAAGACGCAGTGGTTCGGTTTATTAAAAAGAGTTTCCAGGAACGAACCGAAGCTCTTTCTTGATCGATTTCCGGATTCACGACAACTTCGATTATCGGTCTTGGTAAAGATGAGTAATACGACAGACTCCGAGGATTTGTCTCACATGTTTATTTGTGAAAATATGGAGAAGTTGTTCAGCTCTAGCACCCTTTCGGTTCCTAGCTACCATGCCATCCGAAGGAAGCACGATGATTGATATACTGCCAGGCTGCCTAAGCTTGAACAAGAGCAGAGTTTGAGTTCGAACCACGGACCTTCCTACGAATAAGTTCGCGCTTTAACTACTGATGAATGCACTGAACAAGGCAAGGGTCATATGCAGAATTATACCAAGCATCCAGACAATACATACATCGTGCAGGCAAGTGAAAATAGTCGGTAGATCAATCCTAGATAGTTAGGCAAAGCACATCAAGCGTACATTGGTTGTGCAGATATGAGTTCCCGAACTAACATGAGTGAACGACCACTAAGTGCAATCACCTTACCAGGACGAGTAAGGCGCATGATGGCGACGAAAAGACAGCGGTATGAAAATCAATTCACAATATACATTACCAGAATAAAACTCTATAGGGGAGGTAAAATGGAGTCGAAGAGTGACAAAGGTCAAAAGCGGGACTCAATCATGATATCAATACAAAGAACATAGTTTATCATGTATAACAATCAACAGTTTGCCCTGTTATTTTCCAAATCTTTGGGGGTGGTTTTTGTTGGAGAGGGGTGAGACAAATCAGAGCCAAACACAGTCACAACTAAATAGTAACAGAAAAACGGCCTAGAAGGGGCTGGTAAGGTGGAAACCGGGATATTCCATGAGGTTACATGTCCCGAAAATGTGTACTTCTATACACCACTTGTTCCCTTAGCAGAAGACAAAGCCGGCTTCTAGGTACACGTTGAATATCTTCTCAATTGCACTTATGTACGCAGCAGTGCGGATATCCAGACCCAAGTTATATGTTTCTGCAATATTCATAATACGCTGCAAAAGAAAAAAGAGCACGGTTTTAACGCCAGAGCACTTAGAGTGGGTTAAAAATGCTTCCACAACATGACCTGAGTGACAAGATGTGTAGTTGAGACACTAAAATGGGTTGCGGTGAATGTGTTTCTAGGGGTGGAGCAATTGTGTGTGAGGTATCCGGTTTAGGACAGCTGTTCTCTTTGCGCAGAAGTACATGACAAATACCATCACGATCTACAACCTGCCATTTACAATCTAGAACACTATCACTAACGTTGTAAGTAGTGTTTCACTGATCTAGTTAGGTTCACCTGATTTGGTGCCCGTCTGGATGGGACGCGTTAATACCAAAATGACCAGAAAGACACCCTTAATACGAGTGAATGCCCGTTTGGGGCAAGGCACCGGAAGCACACAAACCATGAAGCTAAACGCGATCGCATCCCAAAGCCAGTAGGGATAGTAAAACATCACAACGGCCAGACCTCGGTTTATACGCGAGAGATTATGGGTTGAGATTATGACAACAGTTTCAGAAATATGGTATTCAGGCATACCTGGAGAAACGTGCATACGTCCACAATAGTCAGACTTTTACCTACATCTGCCAAACATCGAAACTGCGCAAAATATGTATGGAACGAAGCAGTATTTTGATCATGCTGCTGAAAAATCAAGCGTGCTTATACACCGCTAAAACTACTACTCACAATAGCGTCCAGTATACGTGAATATGATAAGGCAGAAGAAAATGAAACCCTAAGAGCTATTTCACACTCTTGTGGGTCTTTGAATTAGCGGACATGTCGAGGGTGAGGTGCATAAAGAATACAAAGAAGCGACTTTATTTTAGCAGGCCAACGCTCCACAACGATTTGCCCTCCATCCCAAACGTTCGCCAGGTGATAGTTTTATTCACAGTTCATGAGTCCCATTTGAAACACGGAGTCGTTGTTACTGGGTTTTCATGAGTGAAAGTTTGATACGAGATCAACGGTACTGGCCCTTCCTTATTATGTATGCTAAGTAGTTCCTGTAATGTCGGTCAACTAAAATACTAGAGAAAATTCGGTGCTGTAATGCCGACTTCACTGACATGTCAGCTGTACTCGCGTGCACGATGTATACATTCACGGTGACCACTAGCACTGGGCACTTTGTCAGGTTACTCTCACTGGGACCATGCCATAAGGAGACAATCATCATATGATCATGCATCTTCAATCGATGTGTCGTCAGCATTCGATTTACACGGCAATACCTGGAGCTATTACCCGACCAATTACTTATATGCTATCATTTACTACTTAACAAATCGATAGACACAAAATCCGGCGTTCACAGTTGATATCCAGTGACGATAACTTTTCGGTTCATGCTCACAATTGAGAGTGCCGAAATTCAGCTGACGCGTAAATGCAACTGTCCCACTGAACTTTACTTGCCCCATACGGTTTGGTATACCGTTTGAATCGGATTCTGCTGCAAAATTGTCTCTGTCTATTAGATACTATGCCAAGTGGATGACAAGCTAATGATGTCCTGACAAGTGTACTTTGATTATCGATGTTCTAGCACACTGCAGGTCATTTCAGAGAGGAATGACCTTAACTTCATGGTTAGATTCACTAACAGAAATAAAAATGGGAATTAAAAGCACACAGGATAAAGGAGTCTTGAAATTTTAATCGGTTATCACAGTGAGGTTGACGAACTTATGTGGTCTCCTAGTCGCTCCAGCGTTAGGATACATGATTGGAGAATTCACAGGGCACTCTTAACAAATAGCTGTAGGTGGATGTGGGATTTCTACAGCTGTATTCGCATCAACCTTATTCCAACAGCTATCTTCCTCTCCCGGCACAATATTCTGGTTAGCCAGCGTCAACTCGAGTTCATTTCTTGTTGGGGTCCATCAACAGTTGCAATCGTAACCACGAACACCTGATTTGGGGTGTGTGGGATACCACCGCTTCATCAGCACACGCTGAAGGTAAAACTGTGCAAACTTTGGCTACGTGACTGTTGTTCCTGGAGCCGCGAACCATCCTGGTTGGGTCAGTCGGTAGATCCGCCAGTCGAAAATTCCAAGTCAGGAAAGCTCACTTTCTTTTCTTATTCCGAATTCTGAATAAAATTCCATTTGGTCACTTATAGGGAGCTTGAACTCGACCGAGAAGTGATCATACCAGAAGAAACCCAAGAACGACGCTTTACCATCGACCGAAAATACACGCAATTAATCGGGGTTCAGTGAGTGTTTTTCGATCTTGAAACCACTACCACTATGTAACCTGAATAAGCTTTTGTGCGAAAATTCAAATGTCCATTAATGAATTCACCGACAAGCACAAGAAAAGTTGGACAAACATTGAATTGTGAAACAATGAACTGCCAACTTGTTCTAATTTATTGGAAAGCTGCTTCATATGCTGATTCATAAGCTCGACAGTCATCCCCTCCTAACATCCGGAGGAATGCCTTTTTGTGGCGCAAGGTACACTACAATTCCGTAGTGTATCTGTCCCAAGGCATTTGAAATAAATTAACCCATAGCATTCCATTATTACTAAAAAAATTATCTGCTCGCCATGTTCAGGCGAATCAGTTGATCTTCACAATACGTATAGAAAATGCTATTATACTACTATTTTCATTGGCTGAACGGTTCATGGTCATGTTGGTTTGGTAGAACTGAAGATAGGTCCTCCCCAACAAAGACAACTCGGGAGGATGAACGGGTCGGGTGGTTCTAGTTGAGGACCATTTCGAACGGCGGCTGAACAAAACCCGCACACAATAGCCTAACCTAACGCAGTGGACCAGTGAAGGTAGTGACCCGGAATAATGAATCACCTCATATGAATCCTCCATACACAGATCATCCCCCCTATGAGTCAACACCATTGAGAGACTAGGCCTTAACTTATGAATAACACCACTGTACAAAAGCCAATATAAGGGCCTGTACAGAAACATAGGGCGTCCTTCGGTTGTGTTTTTCCGCTTTTGCCGACCTGCTCGCTTAGTTTGACGCATATTTTGGCGTGCTGTTGATCACCCTAAGGCTCCATCACTGTTGTATCTGACGTGTTTGTCGCCTCGTTATCTTGTGAACTCTGAGTCACCGTTAGAAGCACTCCTGGCAAGTCATACGTTTAACTAACATCTTTTATACCGTAATCGGTGCGTTAGAATGTATGCTCATGTGTTTCGCATGTATTGTGCGGGCTGGTACGATGGGAATTCGCCCCTCAGAATGTGTACAGCACTAGTGGCTTGGCCTGTTTACATTGGCCTTTCAAAGTATGCACGCTCTAGCTGGCACATATCTTGTGCAAACAGCAATCTAAGGCATCAAGCCAAAAGCCTGGTCAAGTGTTTAGCAAGCGACATCCGCAATTCGCTGTGAGAATTGTGCTGCAAAATAATTCGTTCTTAATGAATTGTTATTTGCTGTTATTTCCATTCCCCAAAAAGCGGGATGACAGATCTACTCAATGTTTTAGCTATTCAACAGGCGAAGGTTAATGGCATTGGCTATAAAGCTACCATAATGCGATTATCTTGTGTAGCCGTCATGAGGCCACTTTCGTGTATGAATATCACTGTCACTTGAGGTTGTAATTGCTAACTAAATCATTGCACTTGATTACGTAATGGTCACTAACCCTTAGAGCAGTTATCAGCTTCACGGTTGAAAAACACTTTCCATGGCCTCAAACATTCTAGGAATAAACAACCGTCACCAACCAGAAACATTTTGAGCACGGGGATTCGCAAATCAGAGATCGGACACACGGTGTCAATTATCAGCCAAACAACGGCAGATGAGCGAATAACAGTCACTGTGTTTGGGAAGTTTTAACTGAACCTACATATGAATACCTTGGATGGGGGTGCTACGCAGGGTACCGGGTTGTAGGTCATCAGTGATACAGTAAACGCTGGCTAGCTGAGCACAGGGAAACGACGTGCTTACCTTGGCAGAGCGTTCCATTGTGTATTCCAGGCCAGAGTGGACAATGTCACGCTCTGAAGCACCCTATATTGAAAACGAAAGCAAGAAAGGAAGGTTATAAACTTGTAGTAGACTTGTTCCCGATGAAAAATATGCCCACTGTTTTCTAGGCTTTATGGAATGGGTCTTAACAAGGAGAAAAACGCACTTCGAAAATTGGCGCGTTCGTGCATACAGTGAATTGCTGGCTTCAAAACTTTGCAGCAGACTGCCCTTCTCAATTTCCTGTGCACGAAACTACCACTTTCCTCGATTTATGCACGTAAGCTGAGCGTCTGGGCTATATGCAAATATGCGTGTATGATACCACTAACTCAGGTACTAAGAAGCAAAAGTATCGAAAGATAACCAGTTTAGCAGCCGATTTTTCAACGCTAGTTATGTAGTTGCAGATAGCATTCTATGACGGTAGGCTGTAAGCTAGTTTAGTTAGGAGGTAACTAAACGTGAGAATTCAGGAGTGTTACTAATGGCTTCATGGTAACCGAAACAGAACATTCAAAAAGCATTCCCCTATCGAGATGGCTCCACCGGAAGGCCTGTGGATCCAATGAAACCACGTCGCCTTGACTGCTACTATCTGTGCTTGCGCAAACTGACAGTATTTCAGGCTCGTGATTCTGGGCACTGAAAGGGCGTTACATTGGAACATACGATCCAATATCATCTAGGGGTTAATCGTGTGTTTTAGTCTCCTGGTGAAAAGCCTTCGTGTAATCTGGATCACATATACCAATTCTACTACTACGCTATTGTTTTGCTATGGTGGGATGACTACTGAGTGGCCTGTTATATGGCCCAGATCCAAAACAAGCTATAGAAAATTAAAACATGATTTTTCAACTGGTATTTAAGATCACTTATCTATCATGGATGAGGAGGATGCAGCTGAGAAGCCAGGTGGTATCTTGAGTTCGCTGGAGAACTGTTTCTTCAGGAAGTAGCAGTTACGACTGAAATTGTCCCTAAATGACAGCTATTGTTCGGAGGAAATGGGGCCATTGCATCGGGATTTGTTGATAGTTGGCGCTAGCGATGCTCCTCAGATTACAGTTTTAAGCCATAATTTCACACATGAGGCCTTATTCTTCCAGAAACCGCACGCAACCTACAAGCTCCGTAAGAACACATGAATGCAACCAACAGGTTGATGAGATTCCGGACAATTTGTTGCATACGCAGTCGTACCGGTCATCCTACCGCTCGGTTCTGCGCTGATCAGCTCCGGCAATCGGTCACATGATACGATGAGCGTGGCCGTGATGGAGATCAAAGATATCGAATTACAGCACCAAACCTCTCAAGATTTCGTATTCATTCCTCCTAAGAGGTACCTGGGAGAGGATGCTGCTGACCTGCACCTTTTTTGATCATCTTACACAAGCGCTGAAAAACTGCACACTGAACGGTTCGTTTCTCGTTGCTTAAAAGGAAGTACAAATACATGTATGAATGCATGTAGTTTCAGATGATCGAACACGGTTGGAAATGCGTGTGTATGTCATTCAAACTCTCCTTGTTCCGTGAAACATGGCTTTGACCATGAAATTAGGCCCACCATTTGTCAATGTACGGGGTGAATTGTCCGAGAAGTCATCAATCTTATGTTATAGAAAAGTAAACGTCGTGACAGAAAAACTTCGTTCAACAAGGAGGTTAGCTTTACAACCGATAAACGATGAGCAGAAAAAGACTAGTAAACTAAACTCACAGCAATGCGCCTTTGGAATTCTTCCGACGGAGCGATCGGGATTGACTGGCCGAATTTTTTCTCTAAAGATTCTCTGACGCTGTCTGTAGAACGAGAAATTGAAAATTTGCGTGAAAATACTTGACTAGCTGGACGTAAAAACAAATTACATAGGAGTGGATGAAAGCAAAAAGGCGATGGGTTTTATTTGGATGGATACTATATATGCTCAATACGTTTATTATGTGTTCAGCTCCGACTGAGCATACTTACTGCTGTACCAGCTGAGCCACTGAGGATGCCAACTTATTTCAAACATATTCACGTTGAACATTTTGGGTCAACCAACGTGAAACTCAACTACATATGCAGGGTGTTGGGCAGCGTCCGCGGTTAGTTGAACACTTGTCTGGTAAGCAAGGTCCCGTCCAAGGGCATTTGTCTTTCAGTTTCAGCTAGAGGCACTTGAGTTCCTACTTGAGAGCATATAAATCTACCTCCTCTACATCGGCACCAGTTTACAAAAAAATGCATAACCAACAGCGCCTATCAAGTGAAATCAGTAGCGAAGATGGTCAGGGTAGATATGTTCCTCATTTCACATTTGCAAAGGACCAACTAGATGATATCTCTAGTGATTGTTCAAAACGTGATCTCTTTCTGTCGGTTTTCACGACACACATTAGCGTCATCAGTAATTGGAACAATCGCTCGTTGCAACTGTTCATGTGCCCTGTGAGATGAGTTTGAAAAGGATTCCCTCCCGACTTACATGTGAGGTGCAAATCGAACGCGGAAATAGTGATGCAACTGTTCTGACTATTCTCACACTTTCCTGCGCGCCGCTTTGGGATGTGGTAGCATGAACACGGGCTAGTTCTCCTACCCGTTCACCTAGAAAGTTCGGTTGCCTGGCTTGGCAGCTTAAGTATAGACTTTCAAGGATGGAGTACACTCTTTACCGCATTCTTAGCTATTTGTGTTCTTTGGCAATGCTAGAACCATAAATTGCAAATCGGTGACAAGCAGGATGTACTGATTCCATGACTGCACAGGCCTCAGTGTTTTACATCTCTGAAAAAAATTCCCACCGCCGTAGCACATTCGTTGCAAGACTGGGTGAACGTCATCAGTTTATTTATTCTGAGAACTTCCAGGTGAAATTCCACGAGCTTTTGAGAAAGCATGAATCACCAGGAAATAAGGAAAAGCGTATGAGAAGCACTACAGTACATCTCCAAGATAATTGTGATAAACTCAATATCATTTTTCTGGATTCCTAAAAGATTGGTCTCTTGTTTGCAAAATTAAAGTTGAGAAAAAATCGAAAAAATGACCTCAAAACCAAGCGTACCCTACAATGTGGCATCACAATTTCAACTCGGTGTACCATATCCCATGACAATCGTATGAAACAAATCCATCAACGTAAGGCACGCAGCTTAGTCGTCTGCAGATAGAAGTATACTCATTTGGCTTGAAGCTCAAGCATCCATCTAGGAAAGTACAGAATATCACGTACGCCCGAACGAAAGAGCTTGTTACAATCTCTGCCAAGGACGAAGGGTGGCTTCCAATCAAATTAGTATCTCGAATCGATTTCTATCAACACCGGTGCGACAACAGAGTAGTCTGAACACAGATTATTGTAGAGCGATAAGAGATACGACAAATGGATTGTTTGGTGGCCCTGATTTAGGTTTAGGTGTAATCGTGATGGAATGAGAAGATTATCTCGACAATCTGCACATAATCCTAGAAGACAAACGAAAACGCAGGGCTGAGAAAACTACTGACAGCAATCAACTGGTCGAAAAACGGATGGTTGGGAAGCTCCAGATACCGCGGCTCCATGAATATATCTCCGTGGCACAATACAGATATATGAAACCCCTCATTACAATGGCCTAAAGTATGGAAGGCTAAACTACGATGCACTATGTTTATAAGCAAATAAAAGTGATACCACGGAGGGCTGATTTAGAAAGGAAGTCAAAGCGGTGATAGGATAATTCAACATCACACTTTTGAGGAATAGTCATGATATTTCTCTGCAAAGTACCTGTTTACATTGAATACGGTTGGCCAACAGCAAGAAAATTTGTCAACCTACCCAGCAAGTAGTAGTTTGAATCTCGTTCATATTTGAATGTCAGTCGACCGTAGCTGACATGGTTCAAATTTTTGAGCCACTCAAAGTACGACACAGTGACACCACCGGCGTTCAAGTACAAATCTGGAATCACCAGTTTGTTCTTGTCACGTAAAATCTGGAAGTACGACGGAAGAAATATTCCAATGAATTGAAAATCGAAGTAGGTCAGTAGGGTCATCCGGTACTAGATCCTTTACACCACATTAGCGTATCGTTTTAACCTAACCACAGGCACGCAAAACACGCGACTGTACTTAAAGAGCGCGGAAAATCACACAAGGGTACCTGATCAGCATCGTCACCACACTTTACTACAAAGAACAACGTCACAGTGACCCGATTTTTGGTACTCACAAACTCCTTATACCTGGGATACCAGATAGGAGCTAGGTGTAGTCAGGGATTAAAACTGAGCATCCATCGCTTATTAACAGTTTCAGTACAGTCTCCTTAGTTCACGGGTCAAAATATCGTGATCACTTGGAACAGAAGTGTTGGACAGTGTAGGTTACTAGGCCAGACAATAAGCTACTTAGTTAAGGCAGAGTACAAAAAAATATGAACAAGCAAAAAACACATACGATATTACCCTCGCAAGCGATAATTCAAACTAGAACAATTCAGCGACTTGTATTCTGAGTGATTGTGTTAAGTGTAGCTGAACACGTCTAGAAACGTCAGGACTGTAAAGCCTAATCAATTCAACTGTTGTACAGGGTAACTGAAAGTCCAGAATTACTCAAAATAAGCAGTACTCATCAGGACCGGCAATTTTATTGCCTACTGAGGTTATTACGTGGTGAGAAGTCCGAGTCAAGTTGCCTCTTCGGTAGCCAGTGGTCATTCCGAAAACATGACTTGTCACTGAACATAAAACCGGGATACTTGCATCCGTACTAGCATACAAAACCGAACTTTTTGGGTAGTATAAATTAGTTGGAGAAATGCTTTGACATTCAAGCGAACCAAACATAATATCAATGTACGTTTATCTGAAGGTCATCACAAAAGAGACTCCTTCAAATCTGATTGAGTCTTCAGTTCATACTAACCAATATAAGGACAGGTGGTTTATGAAGTACTCATGATTTCCGACATATGAACGCCGGGGTGTCTGTCCAGGTGAGCTTCTACAACGGCTTTGTTCTAGCGACTGCGTGACACGTTTGTCTTCGTGTACATATCGCCCTATTTGTGGCACCACGCCCACACCGATCGAGACAGAGATCGATCATACCAGCTGTGTGCCATTGGTTGGTTATGTTGCCTCCCACGTATGAATCATGCTATGCCAACCACGTGAATAACGCATACACTAGATTCCCAGCCGAACATCTTGTTTTTCTCAGAACCATGCAGACAGTTCAACGATTCGCTAGCGGTGTTGCGCTTGGGTTAATTTCATTTGAACTTATCTGGAAGCAAACACGCACTTCAACGAACACGCGTCGCATAGTCACCAAAGGAGGTCTCAAAGAAAATACTCGAAGTGACTATAACAAATAAAAGCATATTTCGATGTTCACAAAACCAAATCTCTCGTTTATGGTATTCTTTAACTGAATGTGCTGCTTAGAGGTCGCCTCATGTCCCAGTTGGTACGATATTCAAGATATCGTGGTATATTCTCATAAAGGAAGCTACTCAGAAGATTGCTGAAAATTCGGAGCAACTGTTTCAGTTGCAGAGGCATAGGCCCTACATCGGTCAAGTCACTGGCACGGTTTGTTGAAGTTGTTAAATATCGCGATCAGCAAAACCATAACAGCCGTCCTTCTGCAACTCGACGGCGGCGGTGCAGATCAGAATTGACCAAAACGGAATAGGCTTTCAGCTACAGTCATTCACTCGGTGTCGGCCACCGAAACATGTAAGACAGAAATCTGATATTATCCTACCGGGTATTTTTCTATGACCATTTTTCAGCGCAATTTAGTGAAGCTTTATTCTTGGCCGGTGTGACTCGGTAGATCAATTAAGGCGTTCCTTTTCATTCAAAGCACGATTACCTGTGAAACGGACGCAGGTCCCGGAGTTGTTTATCAGCTTAATTGAACCACTCGGATTGTTAGTTTGGGCAGTCATGGTAACCGGAGGAACTCATAGTAAACACCGAGTTTTTGACCAAACTTTCTCCAATCAATGGCATCTCCTCCGAAGGAGATATAACATAAAAGCGATGATGCAGAAGAGAGCTATACAGTGAAAGAGCTTCTATCCGAATTATGATGACTGTATAAGGTTGTCTATTTATGACCCAGCACAAAAAGATAAACAAACGGCACTTGCCTGAGAATAGAAACGCATGGTTGGACTTTCGAATAAACTCATTCGAAGGGGTGAGTTCTGGTATAACTTTGAACCAAAAACACCCCAAATACAAGGGCACGGGAAAGGGACTTATCCTTAGAAAGTTCTGAGGTTTTAGGGCAACCGGCTTGGAGCGATGTGCTCACACAAAGGTGTGTTGGAGCAAGTACTGACAAGACTTACCAACATCTTGTGCATCTTAGCCCATACAAGCGCAGGACAAGCCTGGAAATTGACGTCATTTTCTCTAAAAAGACCATTTTTATATCATTCTGTTTGGAATTTTCGCACGGATCCCTGTCAGTGAAACGTGAAAATCCAGAGACCTCAGCTCGACAATGGTCGCTTCTGTTTCACATTGCTATGTTATGGTCTGATCACCTCAAACCTTTCCCAAAATAACAGTGGTGGTGGAGAGCAGGGTTGGTCCTGAAGGGCGGTGGGTGAGTATACATAGCATGTGTCCCAGAATACGCTTCGCCCGTTGTTTGAGTGAGGTTTGTCCAATACCCGGTATTCGCCTACGCAGTTACTAAAGGCGACATCGCTGCTGCTAACTAATTACTGTAATATTCCGAAGGTATAGAGTGTCGAACGTTCGCAGGTTCTCGTGTCGGAGAGCCCAGGTGGACCGTTCACAAGATGGAGCATCTCTCAAGTTCGTTTCGGTTTACGCAGAGCTTATTTCGACGTCAAAACAGATAGAGAAATTTCGCACTTGCAACTCAAGCTTTTGTAACATGGCCCAGCTCACCCTTCACGTTACGGTCACTGTTAGTGCGGCTGCATAAACTTACGAACTGAATTTTCTCGCGCTGAGAGTCGATTGCAGTACACGAGGACTCAAAGTCCGAAAGACAAGGCAAAGGACTTTGAAAAAAGTAAACTGTACGCCAAAAACAAGGAACCAATGCCGTCATCCTCTTCCGGCGTTGGTTGAGTTCAACAACGACCGTCAACTCAAAAGCTACTTGCAAAACCCATATAATCTAATCGACCCTAACTTGGTGCTTTTGCCCGAGTGCCTGGGAAGTGCTTTCAGTCACCAGATGAACATAACCAAGAAACGGAGACAGCCTTAGAGAAGCTCTGTTTGCAGTCACTTTCCGCACCGTTAATTAAGAACTCTAACCGGATTGGGAGCATAGTGAAGCTATGCACGGACTGTTAGTGATTATAGTTTGTTCAGGGTCGAATTCATACATTGATGCCTGGGATCTGGTCGGTCCTCACAGTTTTATCCAGCAAAAAGTATTTAAGAAACTTGGCGACCAATGGAACACCTAACAGGGAGTTTCATAATTCCTGGATAGTTATGAGCAGTTGGGTACAGATATATTAGAAACATTTTGCAAGTAAACACTGTGAAGTTAACACTGGATTCCACGAAGGTCGTTCTAATACAGGCTATCATTCCAGCTAACAGAGAGCACAGCACACAGATCCGCATAAACGGTTAGGATTCAGATGTAATTTGAGTACACAAGCCTAATCGTTTCAGATTAATATGGTACATCTGCATGAGCGAAATTTGAAAATTTTTCCAGCGAATCCTATTACACACGTACCTTTCAGTCTTTCGGGAGCAAGATGGCTCAGTGGTTAGAGCGCGAACTTACTGAGCGGAAGGTTTATGGTTTGAACCCCATCTCTGCATCTTGACTTCACCCGTATAGGATTGGGCAGCCTAGAACTATCTCAGCCCTCGTGCTTCTTTTGGGTAGCATGATAGCTAGGCACGAAAAGGGTGTTACAGCTGAACGATTTTTTCAGTCTTTCTACCCAAAAATTATGTCATAATGGAATAGAATAGAATAGAATAATAGAATGGGAATTCCGACAGGATAGTATAGTTGATGTTGCCGAGTGGGCTACCTTCGTGATAACCTGGGTTCGATCTCCGACTGGCGCTTTCAAGTTAGCTGTCAGCACTGATCCTTATCATCTATACACCAAAATGTCGGGAAAGGTTTCTTTCAACATTGACTCACCTGGTCAGCTGTAGGGGTAGTTGGCCCATTGGCACCTTCCGCAATCAGTTTAGCCCGGATCTTGTCTGCATTCCCTCCATGTATTTGTTTTTCGTTTGCACAAGGCACCAATATATCACATTCTGCATGCAAAAGCGAATCTTTGGTATAGGCATCTGCTTTGGGAAATCCGCAGATAGTGCCATGCTCCTATGGTTCAAAGAAAAAATCGGTAACTCGTGGGCACAAAAATTAGTAGCGAAACAGTTGAGAAGAAGACTTACAAGCTTCCAGTCCTCTAATTCACGCGGGTCGATTCCAGATGGGTTGTAGATTTGCCCATCGATTTCTGCCACTCCAATACATTTTGCTCCGGCGCGATCAAGGTAACGCATGGTATGGAGACCGACATTACCAAACCCTTGAATAATGAAGGTTTTCCCTTTGAGTCCAGGTGTGAGACCGATCGTGTTTGCGTATTTTGTATTACTCAAGAAATTGTCGATTCCATGATAAACACCCTATGTACGGGAAGAAAGTGCCGTGTAGTGATTACTTTGAATTGATTCCAGAGGAGCAAAGCTCACTGAACCAATTTTTCGAAACAAGTTGAACGAATCAGTAACTCAAGGCCAAGATGTCACGCAGGCAAACATTGACAAGGGTAGTGATAAAAGGTCTGAAGGTCATAGCGAAGTGTGGCATGGCGTCTATGATAGACCCATATTTGCAATCTGTTCCGTATCTCCTGAGACTATGGTTCTCATATGTGTCAAAAGGAGTTCAGAGAAATCGCTGCTTACAAAAACAAAACAGCCACAAGGAATGCATATGTGGAACAAGCGATTTGATCTATCAAGGCTGTGTTGAATGAAACAGGCAGTGTTTCACGAAACGATGGCTCATGGTGCTTCGATGTTTACAAAAAGAGTATACGAGTCCCATGCACCGTGAGCTCAACAACGATTGTTCCAGTTTTCCTGGTCAACGATAAGTCTTTTGAGCTAACTCCATTGACGAAAGCTCAGATACATGGTAGGCAAGCCATGCTTTTAGACGAACAAGTCCTGAAAAAGCAGATGTTTCTATCCTCCAGAGGTGGAAAGAAATTCGTTAAGCTCAGTCTAACAGATGTCATCGGATGCTGCTCAACTGTTTTGATGCCGTTATCAACCTAAGGATGACATTATCGTCGAAAAACCATATGCAGTTTTTTACGGATCATGTACGTCTCAAGCCACAGATCCGATTAACGTAGAATAGATTATTCGACTCTCATAAGCCTCCTGATACCGGTAAAATTGGATCTGTTCCATGAAAATTTATTGCAAGCAAATGACACTTGATCATGCTTCGCCTAATCTAATAATTGTCAGACTGGTTGTCAGGTAATGGCTGTCTTTACGATAAACGCTGATGGATCATTTCGATCATCTAAGGCAAAAAAATTAACCATCCTGGCCAGTTTTGTCCAGTTCGAAAACTTGACTGTGTACTTGCTCGGTAAGTACAAGCGAACAATCTGCCAACACTAATGTACCAGGGACTTCAGGTTTATTGCTCCACCATAGATAATGTTATTTGAGAGCATTCGGTCAAATGGCTGAACACTGAGCGACAAGAAGCAGAAAAAGGATTCCACGACTATGAGAAGAATCCAAGACATACTTCATTTAATAAGATTCTGCACCGAAATTTTCGCAAGGATGAAATGAACAAGTACAATTACACAAACGCGGTGGTGTTTATTGCCTCCTTAGTCTGGTCTCTTTATCACCTAAAGCGTCCTATTCGGTGTTCCAGGACAGAAGTAGTGGACGCAGAATATGACCGTTTCGAAAAACTAAACCCTTTCATATTGGGCCACAGCGCTTGTAGCAATTAATCGAGACGATATTCTGAAATTATTCCGTTACACAGGTCTGAGAATACCCTTAAAAACTCTTTGCGAACATTCTGCTGCATTAGACTTTGTCGACAAGCTGTGCTCGAAACCCCATCATTCTAAGGCACATATTCAAAAAGAGATGAAGGGCTCTTGCAATGATCCGGCCACCAAAGCGCACTGCGTGGCTTTGTTAGTACATCAGATCTCCCTTCAGGTTCCGCTGGGACATGGAATTTTCTGACACAATATGGACATCATGCCGAGTCAGTTATCATCCACAATTTCATACTTACATGGTTTACCAACGCCAGATCCTCCCAACGGGATTACATTTGAACCAATTTTTAATCACACATAACAATACAGATTGATCCTGTGAATATGGAAATGTGAGCTCGAATTAATTACGTTGGGTTTATTGTTCATTCATCTGAAGGTTACTCCCATTGAGACAAAACCTCCACCATTCAAGTCTTTCTCAAACCCCATTGGTCGGAGACAGTTGTACTCATTAGCTGGACCTGTGGGTGGTTGCCATTTTAATATCCATGATGCGCCGATTTCGAGCAACACTAAATAATCAATTATGTAAATTAAAAATGGTCTCAAATACCATCGTGCCAATCTGCGTTCGGTGGACGTGCACGAACGTTGTCTTCTGACCTTCTTTTGACACGCACTGTCAACTACAACTGCTATTGATGCTTCCGATGACGGCTTTAGTGTGGTTACGTTATATCAATCTCGGCAGCAAATCAGGAACAACGCCCTCAGCGAGTACAGCAAGATAGAGAAAATCCTGATTCTTCAATAGCGAAGTTATTCGAAGGCTGGTTTACATTTGGTAAATCCTAAGACACTGAGGAGAAGCAAGCATATGTACTAACCCGCTCGGAAACATCAAAGAGGAGGTCTTAACAAGCAGTTACATATACTAGCCAGGAATCGAGTAGAATCGTCAGTACACCGTGAAAATTTGTAAAAATTGTGCGTGCAGGGACAGCGGATTCTCTGACGAAAGCTGAAATATAGTTATGGTCTACAATCTGATTCCTGAGAAATAACTCATACGGATTGTGCACGCCAGCTGAACAGACAACACTTTATACCCACTGAAGTTGTATTTTGTAAATAATTATGACAACTTTCTGTTTCATTCACTCTATAAACACTGGTAACTGGCAGTGATTCGCAGTTAACTATAGAGATTTCTTCGGCTTTGTAAATCAGCCACGGAACACATTCGCAGTCCCACTTACCGTTCCAAGAAGTGCTTTATAAAGCACAACGAGAGGTAGGAAGGAAAGTTAAGTCAGAGCAGGTACCACTAAGCGCATAACGGAGCGGCATTGCCAGGAAAAGCTTAGGTTGGATGGGAATCATAACAGATTCCGCTTTTCTACCAAAGAATTACAAGTGACAAGCAGTTTGACCACGACTACTAGGCAAAAGTACAAGAGTTTCACTCAAGTGACCGGCCGACATTTCATCGTCATAGACAAAACTGGGTGCGTGAAATAATACAGTTTTCAATGCAATGCGTTGTAGGAACTAAAGGTGGCGAACTATAACGAAACATGACATTTTAACCGCATCAGACCAAGGCTACCAAATGCCGACATCAGGACCAACGATCCATAAGTTTGATTTCCGGATAACCTATAATAAATGAACAATAATGGTTCAGCTATAGTACACTTTCGGTGCCTAGCTGCTATGCCATCTGAAGGGAGCAGGAGGACTGAGATGAAGAGGTTGGGTTTGAACCACGGACAATCCGGTCAGTAAGTTCGCACCTTAAGCACTGAGCCATTTCGAGCTCTCTTGATAAGCTAACGGACACTGTGAGTTACCATCAGAATCACCGAAAATATATGAATTAACCGACCAGTAGATCACTACATTTAAAACTCGGGCACACATCTTCACAGAGATCTATAATAGTATTGTTAAAAACTTCTATGAACAGAAGATAACAAACGATGTGGAAATAGATGCAAATAGATGCGATTACACCCGCAGTCATATGCATCCTGACGTCAATCTCCAGTTTAATTCTAATACAAACCAACAGGTCACTGGTATCGTTGGTTCGCTATTGGCATAGTCAAACAGACATCTTCTTATTACAAATGTTATTTGCTGATGAAATAACCGAAGAATTTCACGAAATACATTTTGACACTAGTTTGACTCTAACAAGAGAGTGAAAAAATTCCAGCTGAATTTCCAACTAAATGTGCTACGCAAAGGCCGTCTCATGTTTCAGCTGGTAAGATATTCTAAGTATTTCTTTAGGGAACATTTCTCATAAAATTGTTGGGTTTCTGGTGTGCATGGATCTTTTGCGTCATGTAATCCCAAAGGTCTATTCAGCCGTAGATTGTACTTGCAACATGCACTTACCCTGCCAGTTGCGGATATTCTACCATGAATCCCACCCATTGAGATGGGTTTGCCAGTCACGCATGCATGAGCGTGCATATCGAAGTGGCCTGAAAAGAGATATTACATATTTTTGTGAAACCAACGAGCCACTTTTGAGATATTATGAGTCTACAATCGCTGATAAAATTAGGGATATGGGTCAAAATAAAAACTAAAATCTAGTCGGTATGCAACGGATATCACCTGACGTTTAGGGAAAGTGGGAGTCTGAAACAATTTAGATTCGAGCCGTTCATGTGCAACATGCTTCCGGAATGACGAATGTCGACCACCCCAGGTGAAGTATGAGAGCCGAAAAACGAGCAGGTCGCCTAAACCTTGACAGATATATGTATGTATCTATATATCTATGTATGTACCTAAGCTGTTCAGGTTCAAGAAAAAATACGGGATAGAAATCGATACAACGAAAGCAAAAGTAAAGAACGGACCCTTTGAACAGGATCTGAGCTTCCGCCATAGTCTACCTGGGTGTCAAATTAAGCTAGTCAAATGAAGATTTGTGAGCCCGGCGTAAGATGCACCAAGGTTTTAGATCCAGTTCAAGAGTAGTGTTGTCTTTTGCATCATGTATAAATTGGCTAACATCCGATATTATGTCATCAACCGCAGTTACCTAATGTGAGAATATCACAAATCTTTGGAGTCATATAAAGACGATGGCACATAAGTCGGTAAGGAAACCGTAAGAAACTGAAAGGCTTCAAAGCGAGATGTGGAAATTACCCTGCATAAAGCTGAATTTGAGCTTAGAACGACTTTTGAATTAGAAACCTCATGTGGCATAGGATGAATGAAGCAAAGCAGACCATATTATTCGAAGCAACAGACAAGAATGCATACATATCATGGAAGGGTGCGTGAACGTTCACACCAAATAGTTGTGGAAAAACGCCGCAATACGCTGTTTATACCAACTGAGTATGGTCTCACTAAACTGCGTAATAACCAACAGAGCAGCATCTCTTTCGGCGCGCTTTATGCTGCGTAATATACGGATGGAGAGAGAGATGCATGTCCGCGGCCATTCTCTAATAAGCAAATTCAAAATTAAGGATGAACACACGGTTATTGGATCAACCTGGTGCTGCACAGAATGAATATGCTCTGCGCAACCTCTGTGGGAGACTGGAATGCCTTACTCCCTGCGTCCTCAAGCCAGGTCGGCCCCTTTGCTGCCAGCTGTGCCAGGCTAAAGAGCCACTGGCTCCAGGAAAGGTCTCCAAAGAAAACTCTAACAATCGCTGTCTAGTGGTTCTGACTTTTGAGTCAGAGTAGAGCGAAAGGGCCTACAAACATCCTCCTACATCCTCTTACTACCCTGTGGGTCAGGCCTTTGATTCAAAGGCTCAAATTGGGGTGAATTAACCAAAATCTCGTTATTCGGCTTGAGCAAACCTCTTTGCTCAACAACCCCCCTTCCCCACACACATACCACTTATCGACCCATTTAATGAGAGATAATGTGAGATAAAAAAGTGCCCAAACAGTCGCACAGAAAAATGAACCAAGATGTCACCCACAGACCTCAAAAGATCTGATCCACATAACGGCCCCCAATCACTATCAAAATTGGCAACATTCACCTCCTGCTGATACCCTCATTTTCCTCTCTGTTGATGAACGCTGTCTCCAAAACACTTACAAGACCCCATCTTAGTAGCGCACCTCATCCGCTTAGGGTGAGTTCAAATTTCTCACATTCCGCTCTTGGTGGACCCGGTAATCCTGAAGAAAAGACTAATGGTATTTACGGTGTTGGAGTAGCACTCAGCCTCAAAGCTGAAGGCGCTTTACTGGACTAAATTCAAGTACGCAGTTGTCTTTGCGCTTTGCGGTCATCCGGCTCAACGCAGGCCGGTGCAGTGAACGGTGTTTCTTTGTCGTATCAGCGAACGACTCGAAAGAGTGCAGTTATGTGCTCAAGAAGGACGGGTTCAATCGAGATCTGTCACGATTGCCTCGGTCAGCAAGAACGCTTAAAGTCATCCAGCCGGGTGATGTGAACGCGCAGTTTTGACGACTAAGCCTGGAAGAAGCACAATCAAGTGGTAGATTTAGAGTCGCTACTCAGCGTACGGATAATGAGGAAATCCTCCAGTTGTCATGAAGACTGTATTTTCTGGTCAGTACGAACTTCACGCATCCTTCACGCTGACACCAAGTTATTTGAAATCCACCAACCGCAAGACAGTCCTGGACTCAATTAGATAGCTGAAGAATCTCAATCGAAGACTGCCGTTTGTTCTGGAGTACTCAACTTGGCTCTGATCATTACATTGTGCGGATCCTGTTATCACTGCTTCACTCCAGCCTGACACATGCCAAAGCAGAGCAACTCCATTCATGAACTTTGAAAAGTTTCAGTAGATCAATTGTATTGAACTGATCTGCCAAAAAAACTATTGAAAACATAGTTATTCAGATAAGACTGCTTGGAAGTTGAATGGAGACGAGTATAGGAGGCTATGTTCTCAGCTTTCAGAATAGCTTGTCCAAGCCTTCTGATGCGAATAATTGAACACTGGATATTGAAGAGGTCAGTATATTTTATTGCTTCCAGGTCAGGCCAGCAACTAGCGACTATGATGGTACACGCAGATCCATCAAACACCGGATAATCTAGATTTGCTCGATAACCCGAACACTTGAAGGAACAGTCCAGCTCGCGTCCCTTAGCACAGTCTCTGGAAGAACATAGCGTGTCCGTGTGGAACTTTTGACACCAGTCCTCCATGAACAAAAACCCACCACAGAAACCTCCAACCCGGCTGGTCTGCAACCCTCGTTCTTCAAAAAGGCAGTAAGGTCTAATGAAAAATCTGATAAGCACACTGTAGAAGATTTGGAACAAAAACAGATTACCTGCGGAATAAAAAAAAACTCCTAAAAGAGCGGAAGAATGTCATGCAAAAACCATCCTGGTATCACCTCAGTAGCTGTCGCATCTAAGGTTGTCTCTGGGATTAATTTGCGCAAGTAGATCGGTTATCAAAGGAACGGTTCCTGGCTTTTGCATCTGTTCCCTTACAGCAACAGCCATAATACATCAATGATAGGAGACTTGAAGATGTCCCAAACGCGACTCAGACGGAGGTAGTTTCGGAGCCACATAATGCAGATTGCACTTGCTCATTCAATTAAGCGGAATCATATGATGCAATAAAGGATACTACTTAAGTGTTGCTACACCAACCAGTACTGTCAACATCACTACTGATTCTTCGAAGGGTAAGTGGCCAAATAACTATGTCGCAGACGTCGTCGCTTTTCAGTGCTACAAGGTTTCTTAGGTTTCTTCTCTTCGACAATTATTGTGGTCGTGCAGTAAATGTAACAGCCATCCAAAGACAGAATGTACTCACTTTCATGCCACACGATGTGCATTAATGTTAAATTACCACAACTGTTGTTTAAAGTCATACTTTTTCCCTAGATCAGTGAACGTATGCGTCAGGGTCCGAATTTCCCTCTTGCAGTTCTAGACACGCAACATCGTTGCTCCATAATTCCAGCGGGGGCTGCCCGGAAGTGACACCCAAGAGAAGTGCTGGACTTCCGTTACACAGCCATTTAGGGGGATATATATCCATATATTCGCCATTAATATCTTAAGGCAAAGGTTATTTCATCTGGTATGGGGGCATGCTCAAAATGTATTGTGGCGCAACATTATTTTGGAAACTTTTTGGAAGTCTCATGCCTATTAGATTGTTCCGTATCGTTAGTTGGCGAAGCTGTCACCATGCATGAAATATGAGGGTCAAGCATCCGGAAACCTGACTTCGTAAATTACGTAAACAGCACCAAGCTGGTATGATATTTTTCTATCAGTCTCGGCTCCATTAAATTTTATTGTGAAGTTTCTAAGAGGCATAAATTTCTTAGCCATTCGTTAGATTCCTTGTGTTTTTCCGTGGTAAGGTTTAGAGCCTGCCGTTCACCTCACACATAATGATAGTCGGCTCTGTCACGACAGGCTCATACTGGCAAATGGAGCACTTGATTCAACTTTCTGAAAAATTTCAAGTCCCTGCAGCCCAGGCAATAGACCCAGTGAGTCGGGCGATTTTGCGTAAAATAACAGAAATACTATTAAAACTTTTTGCAGGCAAATTCGCTACTGCCTCCCGCCGTTTCTTCTGCTCCCTCCAAACTCAAACAACACCAATGCAGTCGAGTTAACCCGAAAGACAAAACCGGAATTTTTTCGGGTGTTTTCGTCAAACCCACAGAGCTTCAATGTCACAGAAAGCTGCTCGCCGCCTGGCCCATCAAGAGGTTCTTCAAGCTGTGACTTATTTTAAAACTCCTATTAAATTTCTACAAAGACGAACACTTGAATATGCACTTGCTCTCGCCAGGTGGTCACCATTCCATCGTGGTTTTTGAAAGTTCGGTGTTCCTCTGATTTCCAAACAAACCGACTGGTTGGATCTCATTGATCAAGTTTCTATTTTTTAGACTCGGATTACTTTCCAGTGCCAAGCAGCTACTACCAAATCTCTAGCGCGACTAAAGCCCAGGTAGTTATTATTATGGATTTGAAAGAGACCGTCCAGATCATCGTGAGCGATTTTCCTCAATGGTATAACAGTAGAAGTCGATTAATCCGTCGGGTCAGTGATGATGAGACCAAAGTCTTCACCTTCAACATGAGGCTTCTCGTGACTCTCGCCAGAAAATACCCGATGCAATTACTGAGCAGTTTGCACAGATATGCGATAATGACTAGCAATGATGAATTTAGACAACAAGAGTGTTTAATTGACCATAAAAATATGTCCGGCAATCAGTATCGCCATTCTGTTATCACAACTGAATCGGCATCTGCAAAACTGGCCCGATGAAACCCAAAGATGAGTGCAAAATTATACACGGATTATCAAAGCACTACACCTGGGTGCAACATGAGGCACTGGTTCACTAAACAATCTTCAACATGCCTTATGAAACGGATGGGACTGGACAACCGAATTATTAAAGAATGCAAACTTTTCAAAGCGGTGGGCCGCCACTGTCATTTGGAATAAAAAACGAGCACTCAAATGATTTACGGTAAATCCGCTTTCGCCCACTCTAACTGCAACCCTCTGGAGTCTCCCTAAACATACCATCCAGGCATCTGAACGCGATTCCGACTAGGCGACTTCTCGTAGATCCCGCCTCATATCATCATTCTAGTTAATCAAAATGTTAGGACTTATACAACCCAACTGGTGTCCTACCTTACGGAGAAAAAGTCATTTACCGAAAAAGTGTCAGCGGGGTTACCCATAAACAGTGAAAACCCTTACTGTTCGGTTTAAATTGACTCACCCAAAGTACTCGCATAAGTATCTGCAAACCAACTCATTTCTCGCTCTCCAGTGCCCATGTCTGGGGCGGGGACGTCGGTACCGGGACCTAGATGCAAGGTTAATTTCACCACCGCTTGGCTAACCTAGAAAACCGTGTTTCGAAAGCTCCAGGGCAAATCGTCGTGTCAATCGTTCTATCTCGTTCACGGATAATGCACGAGGATCAATACACAGACCAGCCTTCGCTCCACCAAAAGGCACGTCCACGACGGCACATTTGAAGGTCATTAAAGAGGCCAGAGCCATTACTTCACCTCGGTTTACATCAAGGCTGTAGCGAATGCCACCTTTCGTTGGTCTGCGATGGACGCTATGTTGGGCACGAAATCCTTGAACCATTTCGAAAGTGCCGTCGTCCCGCCTAAAAGGCAGGTTTACTTCAAAAACACGGGAGCATGGTTTCAGGATTCCTAGGGTTCCTTTTACGATTTTTGATTTTTCGTATTCCGGCAACCGTACTTTCAAATCCTTGATGAGCTTCCGTTCTACCATAGCAGATGCTTTACTGAAAAACCCTTCTACCATAACATGAAAAGGGATGTCATCAGCTTCCGTTGAATAATTCGAAAGCGGGGCCGTGAACAACGGTGTTGATAGTCTTGTGGAACCCAGCTGTGTGGTCTTCGAACAAAATGCCATTAACCACCTTGCAGACGACATTTTTGGATCACTCCTAGGTCAACAGACGGTAGCACAGAACGCCCGTTTGTACCTGACACCACGCATTTATGAACTTACTCATCGATATTGATGTCGTAAAACAAGGCAATACCATTCATGTTTCCCGAGTGGTCACACTGCTTAAGCGTCATTAAGTTTAATGTTGACTAGCTTAGGATAAGGCTAAGTTAACTGAGTATATGCGAACCACAAAGTGGACTTTTTGGCGGTGTACCAGACGGTGTGCATGTTCGGGCGCTCAGTATTCGCACAATGAAATTGATTTTACGAAGGCCAAGACGTGTCCTGTTGGATTAAATAGTCAGGTAATTGATTTCAGAGTACGAGTTCAATTTTTTGAGCCCCATTCAGGCATTCCGGGGTGTCAGCGATGCTAGGAAAGTATTCCACCGGTTGATGAGCTTCCGTTCTACCATAGCAGATGCTTTACTGAAAAACCCTTCTACCATAACATGAAAAGGGATGTCATCAGCTTCCGTTGAATAATTCGAAAGCGGGGCCGTGAACAACGGTGTTGATAGTCTTGTGGAACCCAGCTGTGTGGTCTTCGAACAAAATGCCATTAACCACCTTGCAGACGACATTTTTGGATCACTCCTAGGTCAACAGACGGTAGCACAGAACGCCCGTTTGTACCTGACACCACGCATTTATGAACTTACTCATCGATATTGATGTCGTAAAACAAGGCAATACCATTCATGTTTCCCGAGTGGTCACACTGCTTAAGCGTCATTAAGTTTAATGTTGACTAGCTTAGGATAAGGCTAAGTTAACTGAGTATATGCGAACCACAAAGTGGACTTTTTGGCGGTGTACCAGTGTGCGTGCATGTTCGGGCGCTCAGTATTCGCACAATGAAATTGATTTTACGAAGGCCAAGACGTGTCCTGTTGGATTAAATAGTCAGGTAATTGATTTCAGAGTACGAGTTCAATTTTTTGAGCCCCATTCAGGCATTCCGGGGTGTCAGCGATGCTAGGAAAGTATTCCACCGGACCACGAAATGCAACATTTTGGCGCAAAATTTTTATTCTACTGGCGAAGGTTTTACAGCTAATAGGATTGTGCGGCTAATGGCCCCCAAGTCTAACAGTTGGAGGTGATTTGTGCACTATTAGAAAACCGGAGTCTCTTGAGCACGACTTCGATTCACCTTTTGTAGTATTTAATGATATGCATTGCAGGTATTAGAAGCGGCCGGCAGCCCCATTTCTTGGGATCCAAATTTGCTGATTCAGCGAGCACGATACGTGCACCAAGTATACATAGCGATAGAAAACGAAAATGCTCTTAGAGTCGGATATTCAGGTAACGCATCTAGGCTTAGGTTTGTGTGGTGTGTGAGAGGGAAAGTGGCACAATTATGCTGCGACTCGTAATGGTTCATGAAAATCCACGAAATAAACCACTACAAATGATACATTTCCCTGTTTCAGCCCCGGGAAAACAACCTTTTCGGGCGGCCATTGGGCTAAAAATTGTTATGAAGTGGAGAATGCGGGTTGGGATGGGACACCAAAAGTGCATTTATCAGGATGAATAGCCACATTGGACTCAGAAAACCGCTTCAGTGAAGACAACAGAGGAATATCATAGGTAGCTCAGTCTGCAGCGTTCACAATGACGTCATCTTGGTACGTCTCAACACCCTCCAAATCTTTTGCAAGAGTATTCACAACTTGCTGAAATACAGCTGGTGAAACGTTCAGATCAAAGGGAAGGAAATTGTGTCGGAATAACCAAAGGGTGTGTTGACCACGGTAAGGTTACCGGAGGCTTCGTACAGTGGTATTTGAAGATAGGCATCTTTGAGATCGATTGTTGAAAACACACTTGAACCTGATAAACGGTAAAGTACATCTTCTGGCTCTTCCGTGGTGCATGTTCGTTGTCGTAACCGCGTACACATCGTTAGTCGGTGGTCACCACAAATTCTCGGAGTAATACCATCATCCTTCAACGGGGTAACTATCAGCGTTGCCCACATCGATGATTCGACAGGAGTCAGTATTCCTTTCGCACACATTGAATTTAATGCTTGACAAACAGGTTCGCGTAAACCAAATGGAATAATCCGTCTCCTAAGAAATATAGTCTCCCCTGTAAATTCGGGCCACACCTTGGGAATTTGTGTGCCATCTGTAGTCTTAGAACACTTAAGAATCAATTGTTTGAATTCATTCTCAGTATTCGAAATCAGTAAGGTGATCCTGGTTCGCAATGAGCGCGGAACTTTGAGTCCGATAGTCGATGGTCCCGACGTGGAAACCAAAAAATTACAATCGATAGAGGCACCTTGGTGTGACCTCACAGATATCGTGCAATTACCAACTAGAGGTACAGAATGTCCATTGGCACCGCGAATGTTAACATCTGCAGACACTATCACGGCACCCTGGTAGAATGCAGTTAGATTTGATTGTGGAATAATGGATTCAACACTACCAATATCAACAATGAAGTCATGCTATTGACAAGAGGCGGATATCAATGTTTTAGAAACATGTGACCAATTTCGGGACAAAGCAGATAGAGAAAGGGTAGAAATGTTTTCCGATAATACTTTCACGTCAGTATTTGGGTCAGAAGTGAGGTGACACATTTTTCGACTTACGGACAAGTTGAATAGGTCTTGTTTCACCGCGGATTAAGCACTTCGCTCGTCTGTGTGGGCATGAATATCTGGAATGGTTTCACCCACAAGATTCACATTTCCCAAATTCTTGAACCATCGGATTAGAGTTACGATCTGTGAAGTGACATGTTGATGGATTTGGGGCACGAGAATCTGTTCGAGGTTTGAATTTGTTTTTCGTCTGCATCCTTGAATTATTTGTTTTAGAATAATTTGGCAAGACCGCTTCCTCAGTCTTCGTTGCATGCTTCACATCTTCATAATGCTAACATATTTTCCGAATAGTTTGAAATTTCTGATCCGGACGGAGCAGCAACTTCTACTGTAATTCGGGCAGTTGAATGCCAGCAATGAACCTATCACGCAGCTGGTCTTCCAATTGGGCACCGTAGTCACATTTGGCTGCCTGTGTCTGCAGCTGTAACACGAAATCACGGACCGACTGAGAATGAGAGCGGGTTAACATATTGAACTTAGCTCTTTCGGCTGCTACGAAGTTAATCGGTTTGAAGTGTTGAAGAACTTTTTTCTTCAATGCGGTGTAAGAAATATGGATTGGAGATTCAGGATATACTAAATTCTTGATCAAAGTATACGCCTCCTTGCCAACGAAATGTAGGAAATATGCAGTGAGTTTCTTCTCATCCATATCGGATTTTGTGAGGCACCGTATGTCGAACCGTTCCAAATGATCCTCTACGTCTCGCGCAGTTGAATTAACATCCAATGGTTACAGTTTATAGGCATCATCAATCGGTCCTGCTGGTGACGCCAAAATGTGAGAATTAAGTTTCGGACGTATATTGGTATAACCAGGCGAACTAGAAATCCAGAATTCAAATCAGTGCAATAAGTAGCACGTATGTATTCGAATTGGCGTATATATATATACTATATGGAATATTGGAACAAGAGAATAATGATTGGAGCGATGAATAGAGTATCAGTCATGTTCATCATAGACCGCGGTAGGATGTAAGTAGCACGTATGTATTCGAATTGGCGTATATATATATACTATATGGAATATTGGAACAAGAGAATAATGATTGGAGCGATGAATAGAGTATCAGTCATGTTCATCATAGACCGCGCCCGGTAGGATGTGACAAACAGTAGCACATATGAAGATGAGGCGGAAAAAACCTCTATGGGTAGGATAAATTTGGGTTCTTGTATGCTTTCGCTGTGCGCCATCTTGTACACCGCATTATGCACCAGCCGGGAGGGCTATACAATGTTACTGATCCAGGAGGTGATCAAGGGACCGACAGCATTGTTTGCACAGTGAAGAGAAAAGCAAGTGAGTGGAACCCAGCTAATAATGCAGGATGCATGCACGCCAACGAGGGGGGTTTTCTGGTTCGCCCGGATTGCCAAGTTTTCGTGGAAATGGGTATAAATCAATATACGGTTCATTACATTGGGTGAGGAAGCTCGCTTTTTGCTTTCTGAAACTTGATATACGTTTTAGTGGGGGTTTATCGGGAAAACGTTATCCTGGGACTAGTGATGGCGGTCACCAGCTGCCCTCTAAAGTGACTGTGGGACCCAGAAATTCTACCAAGTCTCCAGCAAACAAGGGTGCGTGAGAAATTGGGATGAGTACAGATGGGAGCGTCTTCCTTGAGGTGAAAATTGGCGCGGTTCAGATTACCAAGCCCAGGGAGGTGGATTTAGCGGGATAGAACTATGAGAATACCGACCCGAAGTCTTCTGGGTTGCAGTACTGAATAGCGCATGAATCATTCAACTGTTGGTGTAATGGGGTGGGGAGATCCAGGCTATTATAAAAGCTGAGGTTCAGCAGAGCCTTCTGTAGAAGCCAAGCTAATTTGCAAATATGCATAGTTCGCAAGTCGCGTCAAATTTGGATTTGAAGATAACATGATATTAATGAAAACATGGGACGGCACCTACACGATATGCTTTAGGACGAGTGAAAGCGATCGTGTGCTGTACAAGAGTTTCAGAGGCCCCACGACCAGAATGATATTTCGAGATACGTAACTGCTACATGCAACGCCGTGCAGAATGCCTCCATGAAATGGAAATGTCATCCACTTTTGCCTATTACCAGCGGTAGCCAAGTTATCCAGTCACTAAATTGTAAAACATGTACCGAGCCGTCTGGGGCTAGAAAAGGTTGTCCAGATAAATCAGTGGGTTTCTACGTGAACTTGCATGAGCTTGTTGGCTTATATGAACAGGTTATGCCGATTTTCGCAGTTTCTTGTTTCTTTCTTCAGGGAAGATTAATTATCGGCCTGTGCACGATCACTTCGGTTACTGGATTGGGTGATATCGGGTCTGAGATAACTACCCAAATAACACTGGGACA